CAGTGAGTGTGAGCCCTGCTTGTGATGGGCTGGGGACCGAGCTTTATATAGTACCAGTGACTGATCCCCGTAAGTAGCGTGTTGCAGATGTGAAGGGTTCTGGAGAACTTGCAGTGTGATGAATTAATTCTCAACACAGGAATTGTTTTCAGTTAACCATGTTATTATTTGTTAAAATGTAAACAGAAATAGAATTCCTTCCTGGTAGGTGATACATTTCTACTTAATCTCTCATCTCTCAACAAATTGGTTTTCTGTGAGATTCCGCACTGGGCTGGATGGCTCAGGTCTGACTCATTGTGCCTGGAGGCTAGTCCTATAATAAAACTTTAGATTTTTCTGCCACACGGGCTTTTTATCCAGATGTAACATGGCTGTTTCAGCTGAAGCTTGACAATTGCTTTTTTCAGTGTCTGTAATTCCAGTTCATAACTCAACCCTTTTTTTCTTGTGTTCCAAGTTCCCAGAACCAGTCATCCTTTCTCTTACCCAGCATCTGTCTTTGCTGCTCTCTGTGCTATCTGGTTGAGTATCCAGCCACCGACCTGCAAATATTATTTCTCCTCGCATATCAGTGGACCACCTTAGGGGAAAACTAAAAAGGAACTAGAAAGCACAAGGAGTTTCATCAGGCCAAGTGTATGATGCTGTCGGTATAAATATAATATTGAACCCTGATTCGCTGCAGTTGTTTTTGGCTTTCATGGAATTAATTACTAGTTACTGAGGCTGTCTTGTAATTGATCTGCCCTTTGTTCTTTGAGGGACAGCTTGTTTACTCGGTAGTCTGTTATCCACAGCATGTAGAAGCGCCTCTTGAATGTGTGTCCAGAGTGTCATTTCCCCTCTCATTTTGCCATTCCATCTCATCTTCTCAGTCTTCCATGAGTCCTTGCAGCCAGCTCTTCCCTTTCTTCAGTCCACCATCCACCCAGCAACTAGCATTTACCTACACACTTAATCTAATCTTGTTATTCTCCTGCTAAAGACCGCTGGTGACCTGTAGGATGAACCAGAGCCTTAGCATGGCCCTGTGTGGCTGGACCCCAGGGCTGCCTCGCCAGCTTCCATTGTGCCTGGGTTACAGGACCAGTGACGAGGCCAAACCCAGTTTCCCAATGTGTGTCCTTTCTCTCCTGGGCACCTTCTCGGCTTAGCAGACAGTTCCCACCTTGTTGCTCTTGACATTGCTCATTCATCCTTCAGGCCTCAGATTAACTGTGTCTTCTGCAGGGAAACCTGATATCCAGGCTTAGGCCAGCCTTTTCTCTCTCTTCCTCTCATTGCACCTGGAAATGCTGAGGTTGCCTTCTGAGACAGGCCGCAGGGTAACCCACACATGTCTTCTCGACAATTTAAAACAAATTTTCTAAAGATTTTATTTATTTTTAGAGGAGAAGGGAAGGCGAAAGAGAAGGAGAGAAATATCAGTGTGTGGTTTCCTCTCGTGCACCTCCTACTGGGGACGTGGCTGGCAGCCCAGGCATGTACCCTGACCGGGAATTGAACCGGTGACCCTTTGGTTTGCAGGCCAGCACGCAGTCCACTGAGCCACACCAGCCAGTGTGACCGCAGCAGTTTATAACACCTATGAAGTTGAAGGGCAAACACCTTCTGATGTGTTCTTATCACTTCTTTTTCTCCTGGGTAGCTGGCTTTACTCATTTATCATTATCTCATTCCTTTGCAGTGCTCTGTAAATTGAAATTATTTGTTATTTATAGTTTATTTACCTTCTGCTTTCTCTGCTAGACAGTAAGCCCTTTGTGGGTGGTATTCCCAGCCCCATGCCCTGTGCACAGTAGGGTAATTCAGTAATTAAACCCTGACCCTCTGGTACAAGACCTAAAGGTTAGCAGATGGTCACTCCGTGGTGGTTGAACCGAGTGTTTGTAAACCCTGCGTTGTCTTCCCACGGACGTGGTTGCCACTTTTGACCTTGGGTCCACACCTCTCTGCTACTTGTGCCATTTCTGGATTGTAAAAGCTGTCAACTTTTTATTATGTATTTGCGATGTCATTTTATTTTACGTTCCCTACTTTTGTCCCCTTAAATTACATATTAAATGTTTGAGTACGTATAACTTTTAGAGAGGTTTGTAGATGTTTTTTTTTTTCTCTACAAGATTGGAGCACCTTTGCAGAGCTGAGACCTCCACACATATTGTTTTATCACCTAAGTGATATAGAGAAAGACCTCTGTACCATTTTAAGTTTTTTCTCACAATTTTCATTGACTCCCCTGGATACTAAGTGAGGGATACTAAAAAATAGGGGCCAATATCTTCACGTCCCAGTCAAGGAACTGCTGGAAGCAGCCCGACTGGGCGTCCTGCTGCGGGCCCTGCCCCACCAGGAGCTGTGTGTGGCAGAGCTGGGAGGTGGCCCCTTGCCTCTGTGCTGCCTGGCGCCAAGTCAGCGGTCAAGCTGGGCCAGTGCAAGATGATGGACGAAGAGCCCGTTGCTGTTCAGGGGTGGGGTTGGGGGCAGTCGGTGGTTTTTGTTCCTGCAGAATTCATAGTCTGGAGAAATGGTCATGGCTGAGAGAGCCTGTCAGTTGCAGCTAGAGTTACTATGTAGTGAACTTTAGGCGGAGAACTTCTGCTTTATCACGGCCAGGAGGGGTGCCCCCGTGGGAGTGGGCGCTGGGGCTGGGGGCAGGGCTTGGGCAGAGTGCCCTGGGAGGGTGCTTTATACTTTATAAAGATTGTGCCGCTCATTGAATTACTGTTAATTCTTACAGCTTGCTTTAGCTGAAAAAGATCCAGTAGTTACAAAAATGAGGTGAGCTACTGTGACAGGAATGATAACTTTCAAAAAGCGTATTCAGTATCAAATGATAATTAATATTTACTTTCCTTTTCAGTCATCAATTTTTTATTTCCAGTTTCTTGTATTTTGGGGTGTTTTGCCTTTTAATTCCATGTCAAAAAAGTTTTAATACTTCTCATCACATAGACAGATTTGTTTCCGTGCAGAAACCTCCCACCATCAGTTAAGGGGCACTGCGAATGGCTTTTTACCTAGGATTCCTTTGCAGTATTCAGAGTTTTCTGGCAGGATTTCCTTATGTCTGAATAAACTGATCTGAGAAAGATTGACCTTGGCCCTGAGGACCAAACAGGGTAGAAACAGACCAACTGGTTAATAGCACTGTCCTGGGGGGGGGGGGAATTAGAATGGGACAAAGGTGACTTTTTGGTTTTGTAACAATAAGTATATATTTCTTTTTTTAAAAATTTTTATGTTATTTATTTTTAGAGAGAGGGGAGGGGAAGGAGAAAGAGTGGGAGAGAAACATCAATGTGTGTTTGCCTCTCATGTGTCTTCTGCTGGGAACTGGCCTGCAACCCAGGCATGTGCCCTGACTGGGAATTGAACCAGCGACCTTTGCTTCACAGGCCCCTGCTCAATCCACTGAGCTACACCGGCTAGGGCTAAATATGTATTTCTTTTATAAATAAAAATTTAATAATTGCTACCACCTCACACTGAAGTAGGATGACTACTTAGAGAGAGGAGAGAGCATAAGTGTTGGTCTGTGGAGAAAAGGAACCCTTGAGCAGCTTCTGTAGAAAAGAGTGTGGCAGCTCCTCAAAAAAGTAAGAGTAGAACTACCATGTGACCCAGTGTGAGGCAAAGACCCGCTCCTCCTACTTAGAAAATACATCTCTGCTTCCGGTGTTTGGGTTTTCCCATACCACATCCTGCGGTTCTCTGTGGAGACCAGCCCAGTGTCCTGTAGTTGAACTCGGTTCCAGCGCTAACCAGAGTACGTGCAGATGCCGCAGATTAAGGGCTCAGTCCCACAGGCTGCCCTCTCCCCCTTGGGATGCCATTTGCAAGTGCCGGTCGTCACCGGAGCTTTGGGCTGATGGGTTATAAAGTGAGGCTTCCTGTGACCCTTTCGGGTTCAGTCATACTTTGGGGTGTCTCCCAGAACTCAGAGAAAGTTCATGTACCGTCGCGGGTTTTTACAGAGGAGAATATCGTAAAGGATCTAAGTTAACAGCCAGATGAAGAGGTACATAGGGCAAGGTGTGTGGGGAGGGCTTGGAGCTTCCCTGTTCTCTCTGGGCCTGCCACCCTCCCAGCGCCTGCCTGCGTTCCCCGATTTGGATGCTGCCCAGGTCCTAGGGACGTTGATGGAGGCTTCACTGGGTAGCACACAGTGGGTTACATTCTTGGCCATTGGTGATTGACCTCAGTCTCCAGTCCCTCTCCCTGCCTCGTAGGGGAGGATGGGACGGACAGTTCCCATTTCTAATCACATGGTTGGTTCCCTTGGCAACCTGCCCCCATCATGAAGCTATTCATTAGCCCCAGCCCCATCATCTCATTAGTGTGCAAAACGTTACAGAGATTTCAAGGGCTTTTAAGGAGCTTCGTGCCAGGAAATGGGATCAGGGACCAAATATGCAGTTATTATGTGCGCCCAAAAGAATTGGACACAAGGCCTTGAGGAGATATTTATACCTGTATTAATAGCAGCCCAAAGGTGGAAGCATGGGCGACTGAATGGATAAGCAAAATGCACACAGTAGAATATTACGTGGCCTTACAAAAGAAGGAAATACGGACATACGCTGCTACCTTGATGAAGAAAAGGGAGGATATTATCCCAAGTGAAATAAGCCAGTCACAAAAAGAGAAATACGGTGTGATTCCGCTTATAAGCGTCACCTGAAGCAGTCACGGTCATGCACTCAGAGAGTAGAAGGGCGGCCGTCTGGTCCTGGGTGGGGGAAGGGAATGGGCAGTTAGTGTTAATGGGTGCAGAGTTTTAGTTTTACGAGACGGAGAATTCTGGAGCTTGGTTTCCCAGCACTGCTGCACTGTACAGCTAAAATGGTTAAGATCATAAATTTTACGATGTGTACTTGATCACAATTTAAACGTTCCAAAAACAACATAACCGCTCCCGTGAAGCATTAGGAAGTAGAGAAGGAGGCTGTTTCCCGCCGCCGAGGGGTGACCTGCTCTGTCCCCGTGTCTTTCAGGCCCGGCATTTCCCTGACCATGCAGGCCTTCTCGGAGGAGGAACGGAGGCAGTGGCTGGAAGCTCTGGGCGGAAAAGAAGCGGTAAGAATCATCAGTGCTCGAATTGTTTTTGGGCCCCTTTAGAGTGGACTTGTGTTCATTTTTTACAGTGGTTAAAAAATAGTCGCTGCTGAAACTGATGCTCGAATGACTCTCGGAAGCGTTCAGTATTCTAGTACTGTGGCTTGAGGTGGCAGCCTCAAGACTGGTGTATCATTAGTTTTTATTGTTGCTCTTTCATGACTTTGCCCCTCTGATTCGCCTTGCTTGACGAAGTCATCTGAGGTCACCATTTCTTGTTGCCTGCCTCACAGCGCTTTGAGAGAGAAATGCAGCAAAGACTTGCAGTTCATTCTGATCTTGGTGGAGGTGGAACAGGAAACAGGCCAGGCAATCCTGGAAGTGACTGCTGTAATTATGTTGCTTGATTTAACAGTTTACGGGTTCGCCTAATGGAATACAGTGTGCGATGCTATGCCGCCTTAGTGAATGGGTGTCTGTACTCATAACCGTTTGAGGAATAAATTTAAGTTGGGGCTATAGATGCATTGGCACAGAAATTCAGCCTGTTTGCCCTTTTATCCAAATGCTACTTTCATTTTCCTGGGCTGCCAGCCCTTGGGAGTTGAGAACTGGGCAAGTCATGTGTTGAAGTAGGGACTCAGGAAAATTACAGAACACACCGTAGAACCAATTTAAATAAACTCAGCTTAAAGTAGTGAGACTTTGACCCAATCGCCAGTGCAGGTGCCAGGTGGGCTCTCTGGAAAGCCTTCGCCACCCCAGCAGGTTTTAAAGAAGGGAAAGGGCGTAGTTTGCCAAGTGGAAGAGGCACCGTAGGCATCATATGTAGTAAGCAGAGGGGGTGGGGGGTGTCAGCAGAGCTGACGAAACAGACAGTGCTGCTTGGCGCTAAGGGGAGCCCACTGGGGAGCGCAGAACAGGTGGGGGGTGTGGCGATCTCGATGTGCTCTTTCAAAGATGAGAACCCAGATTATAAATTTCAGAAGTAGATCCCATACAGGGAATGTACCAGCCATGTGGGAAAAAAAAGTAGTGATAGGATTTCTGGCTCATCTTATTATATTTACCAGCATTTAGCCTCCGTAGTTATATTTCTGTCTGTATATTCTTAATTTGTCTTTGCAATGTATCTGGAAGTGAAGAGTACTTACAACAGTAATAGTTACTGAGATCCAGAACGGCAGCTACGTTAATCCTGTACCAACAACCCTGCACTGACTGGGGCTCCTCAGAGAACAAAGAAGTGCTTTGGACAGTCAGTTTGCATAGAAAAAGATCATATGACTAAGTTCCTGAGAAATAAATCTGTCACCAAGTGCGATCTCACCTTGAAGACACGTGTAGCCCCTCCTTTAGAGTAAAGAGCCAAGTAATTCGAGATATACAAATAATGGTGAGTCTGCAGGAAGAAAATACAGCCATGCACCACATGTACCCTCCCCCGCATACAACGAGGTCTGTCCGGAAGGTATCCAGCCATGTAATATGAAAATTGGAGATAGTTATTGAAGAAGATACAAGAAACATCATACATGGGACAATGACACGTCTGTCTCCTTCAAAGGAAGCACCTTGGGACCTCACATAGTTCTCCTAGTTGCCATCAGCTGCCTCATTGTATTTTCCTGAATCTCATGGACAGTCTGAAATCTCTTCCCTTTCAAAGGTGAATTTAGTTTTGGGAAAAGCCAGAAGTCACAGGGCACCAAATCTGGGCTGTAGAGGGGATGAGTCACCTGGGGGATTTGATGTTTCACCAAAAATCTCTGCGTGAGGCGTGATGCATGAGCAGGTGCACTGTCGTGATGAGGCTGCCATCACCAACTGCCCACAGCTGTGGCCTTCTGAACCATCCAGACGTTTGCCATGGAGGAATGTTCAAGCTTAATGAAATATTTAATGCAGATTCATTGCTCTACTCGCTTAGTTATTGTGAATGGTGACAGCCACACAGTACACATGCTCACTCAACAGTGTCTACCACCCCCACTGACTAGTACAGTGAAGTCATCACTGTTCACACATGCGCATTCCAGTCCACTTGCCTTGGCTGCCAGATTACATCAGTGTTGTACAAACCATTCTCATTATATTAACAGTGGCTGGACCTTTTGCCAACAGACCTCGTCGTACACTTGGTGGTCCCATAATTATAATGGAGGTGAAAAATTCCTTTTGTCTATTGTAGCCTTTGTAATGTATTACGTGTTTGTGCAGATGCCTTTGTAGACAAACCTGCCAGTAGTAGTAAAGTGTAGCACTACTTACGATTGGTCTAGTAGGCTCTGTTACCTAGATCTGTGTTAGCACAATGACGATTCACTAGGGATGCGTTTCTCAGAACGTATTCACGTGAAGTGACACATAACTCTGTCCAGCTGTGTATTTTTATGGTGATAGTTAAGGTGTTATGTATTTTTTTTGCAGGTACTGTATATGCCTTGCAAGTAATATGGAGGCTCTAGAATTCTTAGAAGCAGCCTGTGATTGTCACCTTTCTGTTTCAGATGTAGTTATTTAAATTGTAGGCTGGAGTCATCTCTTAATTAAGTAAAAACCAGATTTTGGAAATAGTGCTGAAAAAAAAGAGCTCCATCTTGCTGACTAAAATGTGCTTTTTACTTGCGTGAAGTTTCAATAAGTTTCTTAAGAATTGTGGTTTCCTCATCTGATTTCCGCTCCCTCGGTGAGAGGCAGGCTGGGTGGTCCTCACCGTAGAGCTCATGGCGGCACTTCACCAATACCAGTGTGACTTCCACGTGGTCCTGGGTGTGCCTGCTAGAATTGCTTTTACTGACTTGGTAAAAATGTTGTTTCCCCTGTTTTCTCTCTCACTAGCTGCTCCAGAGTTTTAACCGAGCCATCGTCCCAAGACCAGAAGGAAGTAAGTGCCAGTTTATGAAGCTGCTTGTCTCCCTTTTCCACGAGTGTCTTTGCTTCATTGCTGGTGTGGGGTGGTGCTGGGTGCTCCCCTGTGCACCTTCGAGCTAACCCTCCCAGTCTGGGTGTGTTCCCGAGGGCTTATCCAACGGGGTCTTGTTCAGATTCTCCCAGACTGTTGTGATCCTCATTAATCCCATCTTTGCACATTGGAAAAATAAAGTCTTTGATTACAACTATTTTCTCTACAAAACCCAAAATATGTTCTCTGTATTTCAGTTTGATATATATTCTTATAGTCATAAGTGAACACCTGAGAGTGTCAGGTATGCATCTATCAATTTCCTAAGTTGTAAGTTCCTCTGGGTAGGAGCTGTTAATCAGGTTATCAGGTTCCCTGTTTGCAACCCCTGCCCCCGCCCCCCATGCCACACCCAACCACCCACCCACCACCTTAGCGTCTCTGAGTCCAGCTATACAAATGATACATCATTGCACCTGAGAGAATAACAATGGGAACACATAATCACATATTCTAGGAGGATGATTTTCACATGCATTGTATAGACTAGAGGAAAGTCAAGTATTCTGTGGCTTTGTAGTGTGAATTTTTACTGAGATAAACCAAAAATATCAGATTTTCTAGATTCTTTATGAATTACTTTGCTATCTTTGGAGATATTAAGAGTACATTTATCACATGTCCACAGTTTGGAAACATGTTTTTTACACACAATTTCAAAATCAGGGTGTGCATGTCACTTGAGCCCCAATGCTTGAACAAAAGACATCTCTGGCCTGGTGCTGGAAATGGGCAGTGTGTCACAGGAGGTTGTCAATATGCGGAGCATCTCAACTTCTTCTTGTCCCCTCCCCCCCCCTCCCTCCCCTCCCCTCCCTCCCCCCCCTCCCTCCCCCCCCCCCCCCCCCCTCCCCCCTCCCCCTCCCCCCTCCCCCCTTTCCCCTTCTTTACTTTCACTTTCTCTTTTTGTCCTTCTCTCTTTCCTTTATTTTTCATAGAGAAATGGAAACATGCCTTAAAAAAGTTTTGCCAAGCAGAAAGAAACACTTGCATTTTATAAAAGGCTGTGAATTGTAGAGCCCTAAACAGCAAACCGCTGTCCAGTTTTCCTCTTTAAAATTCTCTTCGAGCTATGCATTAAACCTACGAAGTTTATGTTCATGGATTGTTCACGCTCTCCCCACTGAGAGCCAGGAGTTAGCATCACCATGCCCAGTTCTATACACAGACTAACGTGTTTGCCTCCACCGTTTCATTTCAAACAGGAATTATCTTTTGTCAGGGTGCCCAAGTATGCTAGCTAATCCACAGGCAAGAGTCTGTATTAGAAAAATAATAAAGTTATATATTTAGAAAAGTCTTTTCTGCTACATGAATCATCTTTTTTTAATTCACTGTGAAAATAATAAAATATTAAATGCTTAGAGCATGGTATAAGTTATGAAATTCTTTTTGAAGCTCATGACCCAAGTAATATTTTTGAAAAATGTTTCCTAAATATTTTCCCCTAGGTTTTAAAAAACAGCATGTGTCATTTCTCCAACTGTCAAGTAATTTTAAAACCTTCACTTGTGTGTGTGTGTGTATGTATGTATGTGTGTATATATATATATATATATTTTTTAAACTGAGCTCTTGTTGGAACTTTGGCAAAATGTGTCTTAACTATTTCTAGAAAGCTTCCCCTAAAGATTTTTGTCACTTTCACTTCCACTATTTAATGTAAGTCATTTTTACCAGCATAAAATTATTTTAAATTATAAATTTACTTATAAATTATCGATATTGGTAGTAGAGGTCTTAATATGCTAGTGATCACTGCTCTAAATATATGGAGTTTTCATTCATATTATTTAAACAAGGATACATGGCTTTTAGCTTCCCTTTTTTAATAGGAACATAAATCAATGGAATTAAAATAGTTTTTCCTGTTTTCATAAGGAAGAGAAGCATAACTAATTAATCGTGCCCTCAATATTTTATAACCGTTTCTTGTAGGTGCACAGCTGGATAAGACGGGATTCACCATTATCAGAAAGTGCATCAGTGCCGTCGAATCACGAGGTAACGCGGTTGTCTGAGTCATTTCGCTCATGAAATGCGGTAGGTACGGGACATGTAAGGGTCCTTTAAGTTGCTTCCTGCATTGGCTGGGTGCACACAGTGAAATACATTGATGGGAGTGCACATGTACCCTGTGTGTCAGGTGGTTGGTTGGTTCACTGTGAGAGGGTGGGGTTTCCTTTTTCACGTGCATGTTCCTCCCCCCCTGCCCTGAAACACGAAGCTGCTGTGAGATGGGAATCCGTGGAAGAATCCGAGGTGTAGGCCTGCCAGCCTGAGTCACTTCTTGTTCACGCACGGTTAAGATGTTCCCTTCTTCCATCTTCATGTGGGTCTCCATTTAAAAAATAAGCTTCCTCAATGTCCAATTTGCATATAAAGAAAGTTCACTGAGTTTAACAATACACACTGATGAGTTTTGACCAATGTGTGCACAGTTGTAGAACTACTCCTGCAATCATAGATTATATCTCTTCTCAGAATTTCTTTGCGCCTCTGGGCAGTCAACCCCTGTTCCGTCCTTGGCCCTTACAACCAACCACTGAGCTGCTTGTTGTTCTAGTTCTACCTTTTTTTTTTGGCATTTTATATGATTGGAATTGTGCAGCAGATAGTGTTTTGAGCATGGCTTCTTTATTTAGCATAATGCTTTTGAAGTTCATCTGGCTGAGTGTGTCCTTAGCTCATTTTCTTTTTATTTCCTAGGTGGTCTCTCTACTGAAAAGACCACCTAGTTCATATGGATGAACTGAACTTGTTTATCCATTCACCTGTTAATAGACATTTGGGTTGCTTCCAATTTAAATTCAAGGGAAGGTAATCCTTTCCCCCACCTTTGGGACTGTAAAGAAAACACTCACAGGTGTTTTCCTTCTAGTCCCTAAGGCAAAGTAGGGCTCTGGTGGCGCTTTGCAGCCATCCCAGCAGACTCTCGAGAAACGAAATATCGAGCCCATGCAAACAGGCTTTCAGGAGGCTGAAGTTCTCCTTGTTAAGAGACCAAGAGAAGTAGGGATACATCGAATACTTAACTCACTTTCATACACATATATCCTAGTCCTACTCTGGATACTAAGAGGAAGCATTGCATTCAAGTTGTCTGTCGAAGCAAGTTCTGCGTTACAGAACGAGCCAGGACCGCCGCCTGGGACATCAGAGGGCTCTGTCTGGGCCCTTTCATGATTTGGGGATTTGCCTGTCAAGGACAGAGACCCAAGCGACAGAAAGCCTTGCCTCCCAGCCCTTACAGTGGCAGTTCAGGCTGTGGCCATTTCCTTCCTTGCAGCCTGCACTGAAGTCCTGCTGACAAATGTCTTCATTTTCCTAGTGCTTCAGGGACTTCCAGACTTTAGAAAGACACTGTTCACTAAGATTTTCTCTTAATAATATAGTATTTTTCAATACATTTTGATTTTCATACTTCTCATTGTCTTATTCTTGTTTCTGGTTTTTTCCTGAACCTCTTAAGAAGGTTAATATTAATTCTATTCCTAGCATGCTTATTATTTTGATAAATTAAATTTTTTTCCCCAGAAGTAACATTTTATATGTACTTGCTTTTTCCTGAAAAAATGGAAATCTGTCTAGAATTTTTTTCTAATTGATATGTATAGTTTTTTTGGATGTTACGTACATGGAATAGAACATGCAGGGTGGGGTGGTAGATTTACAGTTTGTGTGGAAAGTAATACAATAATTAATAATAATATAAGAATAAACTCTTTTGTGTATTACAGCTGTAAACCTACCTTTGCCTAACCCTGTAGGAACTGAACTCTGCATATATTGAATTTATTTTTATTATAAATATGTGAGTTGTCAGATGTTTTAAACAGAATAAGTCTACACTTTTTAAATTAGCTTTTTCCATTTAAATAATTAAAAAACCACTCTTTTCAAATCTTCTGTTCTCTAAGGGCTTCCATTAGTAAAGCCTCTTGTTTTTAGTGGATTAATGACTAAAAAATTCAGTTAAAGAATCGACCGTCAGATCATATTATTAAAAACGATGAGTAACATTATATAATCTCTGAGGCTTTTTGTGCTAAATTTTGAACGTAAGGAATTTGGTCTTGATGATTCCTCCAAATCAGCTATAAAAGCCACTGATATATTTTTTTATGCTACCGTTGCTGTTGTCTCACATATTTCATCCGTCAGAACAAAGCTAGTTTATGTCCTTGTAACGTGAAATCCACAGGTTTCTGGTTCAGAACATCAGGACGATTTCTCCCCCAGGCATGGGTAGGCGGGCTTTTGCTTATCACTGATGCTGGGGCTTCAAGGTACCTCATTGCCTTTGCAACCCAATCAAAGTAAAGGTTCCTGCTTGCCGTGCTGGAAGGGAACAGCTCTGGAGGGCTATGGACCAGCATTGCACGCTCTGCTTTTTTTTTTTTTTTTAATTTTATTTATTTATCTTTAGAAGGGAAGGGGAGGGAAGGAGAGAAATATCAATGTGTGGTTGCTTCTGTTGCATCCCCTGCTGAGAACTGGCCCCTGCTGGGAACTGGCCAGCAACCCAGGCATGTGCCCTGACTGGGAATCAAACCGCGATCTTTTGGTTCGCAGGCCTGTGCTCAATCCACTGAACTACACCAGCTAGGGCTGCACGCTCTGCTTTTGAAGCAAGTTACATTCACTCACAACTAACTGTTCAGAAATAGCCACATGGCCCCTCCCATCCCCAGGGCTCTAGGTAGCAAACCCTACCAGGAGCCTCGGAAACTGGAGGGGTTGGATGTATTTGGTGAATTATATCAGTGGCTACTGTACTTCCTGGGTCCACATGCCTACCAGACAGAAGGATTTAGTGAGATCTGATTGAAGAATTGTTTCTAATCACTGTTTTCAGCATTTTAAACATGACTTATCATCTGAAAACTACCATTTCATGCATTTTGGTTAAAGTGGTCAGTACACCTTTTTTTCTAACATGTTCTTTTAAAAATAACACTTGGCATTTTTTGTTACCATTTGTATTTGTGATATCACTGAAATATCAGACAAATGTTTAAAACTTAACTGTAGTCCCCAGAAAATGTAACATTTTTAGTGTACGAACATATCTTTCATTACATATTTAACATATATGGCACTAATATGTTACAGTATATTAACATGTATAATATATGTTAACATTCATAGGTGCTAATTATCTTATAGCATATAAATAAATAAGTAAATAAATAAATAAAAATATATCTTGGCCAGGTGGGATGGTTTAGCAGTTAATCTGCTTTTGAGGTGAGAACAAACTCCATTTTAGTACAGTATCAGAATCAATTAACATACCCTCTCATTTGCTGTGGCTGGTGCAGCTCAGTGGATTATCAACCTGAGAACTGAAAGGTCACAAAGGGTCGCCAGTTCAGTTCCCAGTAAGGGCACATGCCTGGATTGCAGGCCAGGTCCCCAGTCCTCCGTGCGTATAAGAGGCAACCCATCCATGTATCTCTGGCCCACTGATGTTTCTCTCCTTCTCATTCTCCCTCCCTTCTATTCTCTCTACAAACAAAACAAAACAAAAAAGTCTTAACAAAAAACCAAACATACTCTCTCATTTTCAGTCTTTTGCTCATGAAGGTAGGGCCTTCGGGGAGTCGATCAACTAACGTTTAATCCATTTGCCAAATATCTGCCCGTGATGGGTATCAGCTTCCTGGATCCAGGCCCTCTGACTTCCACTGGAACTTGCTGCCCTGAGTGCCCCGTGGGAGGACTTCCTAAGCCAGTCTTTCCCAAACATCGCTGCCACTGGGACCATCTGGCATCTTTAAAGAACTCCGTGGTCTGGCTTTCACCCCCAGTCAGTGTGGTAGCTGGGAAGTGGGATTTTTAAACGCTCCCCAGGTATTCTAATATGTAGCAAAGTTTGGGAACCCAAGATGCTCATGGGACAGCTGCCTGTGTTTTGGAAATGGGATACACAATTGTCAGTTTTATGTGTATAGAGCCCTGCTCCGTGGGGAGCCTTTCTCTTAACTTCTTTTAAAACAACCCATCCTAAATTGAAACAAACTACACAGAAGAGTTTGGAAGGAAATAGCTCAATGCACTTTGCTTCCTCAGTAATAGATGACTTACCACTAACAAACCCCAGTTCTGTCTGAAGCCAGTCAGTTGACCCCAATTTATTGAGCAGTCACAGGGTGTGCATAGCTCTGCTCTAGGCCTGTGCAGTACATGTTAAAGGTTTGTTACGTATGATCCTCAATCCATGGTTTGCAACACAGAGATTTGTAGGCAGTTCAAGTATACCGGGTACTAAAATCACGTGCTACAAGTTTGCACAGGGTGAGAGAGTCCGAGTGCATGTCGACGGATTGCAGGGTACTCGGTGTTGAGGGCTGTGTGGGAACAGGCTTCCTCAGAGTTAAAGGGCGGGAAAGTGTATTTGGCATTTAGAGAAATCTCAGCAAAGATGTGCAGATAAAACCGTCAAACTTGATTGGATACACAGTAAAGGCAGGTACTCAGGCACTTGTGTTTGATTGTGAAGGAGCTGGGTTAGAGGGTGGTGGATGGCTGGCTTGCAGGCTTACAAAGGTAGAGTGTGGGAGCCACATGTGAGGTGACCTTGTGCAAAGGAGCCTGGAATTGCGCCCGAGTTGGGATATGCCATAGTGGAGGAAGCTGATTCAACATAATCCAGATTCTGGTGGGGTCAGAGAGCATGGATACATTGGAGCTATTTAGCAAATGAAGTAGTTGTCACATTTAGCAGGTGGTTGTACATTGCAGTGAGGGTTCTGCAAGGAACTTGAGCATCAAGTTTAAGTTCAGAAAACAAAGGATGTCAAGGAAATGTGAAGGTCGGTGGCAGACCTGATGGCATGCATCAGGATCACCAGGGTACCTCTTGAAAATGTGGATTCCTGGCTTTAATCCCGCTCTGTTGAACCAGAATTCTTGGTGGCTGGGCCTACGCTGTAGACATTGAGAGGTCCAGTAGGGACGTTAAGCAGAGGGAGGGGTTTCCTCATCTCCTGCTTTAAGAG